GAGTGCATAGCATGGTCAGGATCACCAAGCAATAAACCTTCCAACAGATTCACAAAAAATATTTGCTTGATTTGTAAGCATGGTTTAAATGGCAGAAATGGCATGCTTTTATGCCACCCTTGCAAAATACATTAAAACCTTCAAACCCTGAAGTAATACACCTGTCCTACTCCTTTCCTTTAAAGTTGAGCTCTGGAAAAGGTTGAGAAAAGCTTATTTGTACTTCTTATGCTTTTGATGCTTTTATTGTGAAATATGTTCTTTAATAGCCCCATATTAAACCTTAATTTACGGTCACATGACCCTTAGTAGGCTCATTTATTTTCTACAGCTACTAGGCAGTGAGAAGTTGCTGCCACCACAGTCAACGTCACATCCTGGTGCTGCGAGCGCTGGCCCCTGCACTATACTTCCCATGATGCCTCCTTACATATGCTTTTTGTGGGCAGCTTTATGAGTGTAATAATGGGCAATGTTTTGGCCAGACTGAAGCGCTTGAACAGCCTTCTGTTGCAGGGGGCATGGAGTGGGTGGACAGTGAACGCTCTGGGGAATGGCCAAAGATCCAGCGCCAACGTCATGACACAACACACCGCTATCATGAAGTTAGATGACCAATCACTCGCACTGAGGAGAACAGCTGCCGGGCTGATCACCATCCCAGGAAGAGGCACCACTGATTATGACATGACTACAGCTTGAATTGGGAACACACAGATGTTACAGATAATATCTCAAAAATAAAAATTATTCATTAGATCCAAAACCATGTATAGTGGGACTAATACACAAATATCTGTTCAATGTTCCAAACAGTAAGGTACTCACTGAAAAGTATTTCCCTAGACACATCCATGCATGTGGCCAGTCAGTCGCACCTGGTTGCTCATTTATACTGTATATGAGTTCATGAGTCTTAATGAGTTCACAGGATTTTCCTTGTTGGTCAGCATGTACTGACTTTAGTCCTTGGACTCTAAATAATTGATATATAAAAATAT